TTTCTCTTCTTTTCTAGAGCTTTTTCTTCTTCTAAACTCAACGGTAATAAACCAAGTCTAATAATTTCCCTATACCAGATCGCACATATAGATCCACTTAAAAAGTAATGTGCCGAACCTGAGAGATGTAAAGATTCATTTGGATCATGATATATTGCTATTAATGTTCTTAAAACAAAAATTATTATGTTGCCAAGTATTCGACCCGCCCATGCTCCAATATCTGGTCTACAAAATAATTTATTCGATAATGAAACTCCCATACGAGTTATTCCAACATAACCAATAACAATGATTGGTATGAATAAATAGTACTACAATATAAGTTATTTTTTTGCTAATTAAAATTCTAATACATATTTGAAAAAAAGTTTGTATATACCATCATTTCCGGAGGAATACTCCAAAAAATATATTCGCCTGATTGAAGAGTCAAATGTTGTAATAAATTTGTTGTTTTTATAGCGTTATAATAAGCCTTTCCTATCGGATCAATGTACACTATACTTAGCAAAACAATCGAATATGTTGGATATACTCTCATAATTCGTCGAAAAAAGTATTTTAACCAGAACTTTATTGCGGAATGGTTTAGGCAATTAAATGAAGATCTGTCTTTTTTATCATCATTGACAGTGTTTAGTTCTTTTAATAAAGAATTGAAAGAATTGAAAAGAAAAAAGAAATAAGAAATAAATATTCATTAGAATTCAAACATTCATTAATAACATTAAAAAATAAACTTTTTCAATTAATCTACCTTCGTCATCCAATATTTTGTCATATAACATTCCTTTTTCCACAAAACTTTGTTCGATCCAATTTTCATAATATTGTTCCCAATCCATTAATGCACGAAAGGTAAGTAAAAAGGCAGAAAGTACAAAAAAACAATGTACGGGATCAAATCCTAGCATTGTAAATGTCGTAAAAGGTAATACTTGTTTATATAAAGTTTGAGAATGTGAATATACAACCGATAGGGCAGCTGCCCCACGGATTCCATCGAGAAATTTAAAGTAAAAATCTGAATGTGCTGACATTTTTAACGTTAATTTTTAAGTGTGAGTGCCTGTAAATTGATTACTTTTTCACCGCATCGGATATTGGATCGTTTTGCTAGTTATAGCAAATGATCGTCCAGGAAAAGGTAATCTAAAACCGTGTTCCGTTACACTATTTAATTCTTGCTTGGCATTGGGTTAAGGCCAAGGCCGCATTTACTAATTCCCCCCAAGTTTTGATTGGCTGGGATTATTCGTGCCAATTTACATGTCACCTTCTTGTTAAAATATGACATCTCAGTTAGGGTTTGGGTTAGGGTTAGTGGGCGACATTATGCTAAAATTTTGCAAGGAGTTAGGCAAATTTTGCGATAAGTGTGACTTTTCAAAAAAAGCGATCTTCACGTTACACCTGGTCCTGTAATCTAATTGGCCAATAGCGAATATTAATAAATGCGCCAAGGCCGACTTTCGTTATTGCGCGATACTACAAACCCTAAAAGAGCATAAATAATTCAGACACAACATATGTTGTATAATTTACGCATGTAGTAAAGATCATCGACGATATTGTTGTCCGGAGTAGGGTCACCGACAGGGATTTCCTTATGTCAAGAAAATGATCTACATCCGATGTAACACACAATTTTGATAATATTATATATATATATTG